GTTGGGTGGGCCGGCCGCTCTAGGCAGCGGGGCGGACGGCGCTCAAGTCTCTCTGTCGCTGCTCGCCCTGCGAAGCCCCGCGGCGCAAGCATTCAATGGAAAACCAGTCAGCGCGTGCGTATTGCCGGCAAGCCCCGCAAGGCGGGGCTGAAGGCGGGGTCCGAGATGGGGCCGACCAGCGCTTGCGCACCGGAGAGGAGCTTGGCGGGTCGGAGCCGGAGGCGGAGACTATCGGCGCGTGCGTACTGGTGCGCAGCTTCGGGGCTCTTACGTGTTCCGCCGTTTTGCCAGTGGGTTCCCTTCTCCCTGCCATACCTTGCCAGGCCGCTGTCTGCTGGGTGGTTCCGAGAGCAGTGAGCGGCTGAGCCACAAAGGGCTCCCGGACCCAACACGGCGCCCTTCACTCCCCACATATCCCAGCTGTTGGGACTCCGTCCGGGAGACATAGGCTAGTTGAAGGATGATCACGGTGGGGAGAGAGACCCAACCCTCCACCACCAGCCACCTTCTGACTCGAGCGACCCCTCCTTTCTTTCTTTTTTTTTTTTTAGGCAGAGTCTCTCGTCCCACTGTGTCTCAGTCTTCCTGCCTCAGCCTCCCTAGTTACTGGGAGGTGGCCTCAGGTGGCCGCCTTGCCCAGATTTTAGGGTGGACTGGGAATCAAACCCTGGTCTGACATGTGACCTCAGCCTGCCTAGTAGCAGCATCCAGCGCATGCCACCGTGTCTGGGCCTTGGGTCTCTCTGTTTTTTTGTTTGTTTGTTTGTTTGGGTTTTTTTTCCCCTTTTTTCAATTACTGCTACAGGGAGCATGTGCTTGTCAGAGACAGAAAGCAAGAGAGAGAAAAAAAAAAATCAGTCCCCAGAGGGTTGGCCAAGCTGCAGTCCCTTCTCCATTTTCCTCTGGTGATTTTGGGCACACGTGCTCAGAGCATGACTCCCAAGCCACCGGATCTGGGACTCCAACCATGGAGTCAGTCATGTAGGATACAGCTGCCTTAACTTCCATGCCTCAACCTGGAGTTCCTACTTAACCAGAGTGCTTGGGAGGTCCTTGAGGCAACCCAGCTGCTTGGTACCTAAGCTGGCCAGTCCAACCCTGAAGCCCCTCCTGGCAGAGCTCCTGAGAGTCAAGTTCTGACCTTTTCTTACCGTAAGTGAGAGGTGGGGTGGGGAGCCAGCCCAGCCCTAGACTGCCCACCCCTGCCATGGGGACAGCCATCCTCGTAAAAATAGTTCCACTGTTTCCTGGCTGAATTTTCCGCTCAGCCCATGAATAGAGTCATTATGTCTAATGGATGCTGCACTGAAGTTTGTTTTCCGCTCCCACGGCCCCCTCCCTGGTCCTGGAGAGAGGCACAGCTTGGCCACCAGGCAGGATTGTCTGATGTGAGGCAGAGGCAGGAGACAGTCTGTAGGACTGCGGCAGAACCACGTCCTGAGGAGCCCTGACCGCAGCTGAAGAGGGAATGCCGGGGCTGGCAGGTGGTGTGGTGGTTAAGGACGCTGGACTCCCACATGGCCTACTGCAGTTCTAGTCCCGGACTTGGCGGCTTGCTTTCTCTCTCTCTCTCTCTCTCTCTCTCTCTCACTCTGTCAAATTAAAATAAATAAATAAAGTTAAATAAAATAATTCTTAAAAAAAAAAAAAAAAAAGAGAGAATGCCCAGCTGCACCAAGCTCTATCATGTGACACTTCTGACTCAGGCCCTGGAGTCCTAGGTGGACTGAGGGTCAGGTTAAGCATACTCAGTGTTGTATTCATATTCAGGACCATGTGTGTTACATGTATGCGATCACTTTACAACGTACCTTTACCCTGACCCTGACTGCCTCTCAGAATTAACCATGGATATGGGTCAACGAGGTGGCTGACCACATGACATGACAGTTTATTAGCCAAGGTGAGTACCATTGGTCCCACCATGGCCACAGGCAGACAGCGGGACCTCATCTCTGAGTCTGGTTAACTCAGAGCACCTTAGGCAAGATCTGAGCAGCTGTCCCGGCCTTGGAGCAGAACCCAAAAGAAGCATCCATCCGCCTGCCCCTGGGAGTCAGCCCATGGGAATCCAGCCTGCTTCCGCTCTGCCTGTCACAGGGCCCCGCCTTCTGCTGCCGCACTCAGAAAACATCTCAGCATCGAGCCTTCACCTCCTCCCAGGGATCTGCCGTCACCACACAAGACAGGCCGAGCTGTTTTTAGAATGTGGAAAGTTATGTAAGGGAGTCCACCCAGGACTGGGAGTACAAGCACAGGCGTGTCCAGTGCACACCCATGTACAGTTGCAGAAAATGGCAGTCACAGTGCAGAACTGCAGCCTTGAACAGAGAGAGGCCCTCATCTGCCTCGGTTTATCCCTGTGCAAAATGGAGGCCCTGGCCAGCTATGGTGATGCAGTGTTAATGCCATGTTCAGTGATGAGGAAGACATATGGGAAGGGGCCAGGTTCAAGTCTTGAGATCTCCCTCTGAATGCCAGGGTCACATACATGTGCATGAGATCCTAGCTGGCTGGAGCTAGGGGTAGAAGTGAAGCATGAGGATGCTATTGGGGGTGCCCATTTCTCTCCCTCTCTCTGTCTCGCTTATTTTCTCACTCATTAAACTCTTAAAAATGAAGACATCAGGGTCACCCTGTAGCATAGTGGTAAAAGGAGCCAGACCCACATGGCTGACTGCAGTTTGAGTTCAGGGCCCAGAGGCTTGAAAAACACACCAGGCACATGTGTGCGAGTGTCCAATATCCCAATGGGTTGTAGAAATGGAGACGGGATCACAGCATGATCACACTCCACAGGAAGGTGCTTTCTCCCTCTCTGTCTCTGGTGAGCACACACACCCTCTGGCAATTAAAAAAATGGGGACACTGTGACCAGCAGATGGTACAATGGTTATATTGCTGGATTCCCACATAGTCAACCACAGTTTGAGTCCCAGACCTGGCAGCTTAAAACTCAAGCCAGGCATGTGTGCATGCTTACCCAAGATCCGAAGAGGAGAATGGAGAAGGGATTGTGGCATGGCCATCCCTCCTGCGGGGTGATTTCTCCCTCTCTATCTCTCTGGCAAGTGCACATGCCCTCTAGCAAAAATCTCTATTAAAAAAAAATGGGGACACTAACATACCTGTAGGGGTTCCATGGGTCCCAAGAGCATCTTGGCAGGAAGGCTACAAAGGGAGGCTCAGCTCCCACCTCCCAACATCTGCTCCTCCAGCCTCCTGCTCACTGAGAACACCTGAGTCACACCCCAGTGAAGAAGGTGTGGACTGCAGATCCTCCCAAGATCCCATGAACCTCATCTCACCCACCTCACATCTGTGACCTTCTGGTCATCAGGACTCAGGATGCCCAGGCTTCTAGCCATAAAGCCATGATCTCAGCTGTCAGGATGGGGAGAGGGCAGCTAGGCTGGCAGCAGGTGGTGTCTGGGACCTTTCAAACCCCAAAGCCAAATCTCCAAAGGCAGGAGCCAAGGGCAGGAGAAAACCCCGGATTAACCCTTAGAAGGAACTTCTAGCCAATGAGCCCTGTGGATAACCAGGCTGTGAGAAAAGGACAGCAATGACCGCTGCTTAGCCACTTGAACAGGGAGACTGCCTTCTATGTTGTAACAGCTGCCAAGAGATCCAGGAATTACAATTGATTGCTGCTACCCATCTTCCACCTCCTCAGTCAGCAGGGGACAGGCCCAGAAAGCCTTGATTACCTCTGGCCAGTAGAGACTGGACAGGGCTTGAGGGAGGCACCAAAGAGCCAGCCTGGAGGTGTCTCCTGCTGGGATGGGATCTGCACACACCCAACTCCTGCCAGCAGGAGACACCTGGCCAGACCCCAAGCTCTGAGCCCACATATCCTGCATCCCCCCTGTGCCAGCAGCTGGGAGTACCCCAGGGCCTGAGACCCTGCCTGACTGTGCAGTCAATGCTCAGGTCAGAGAGAAGGTCCTCAGGTGACTCAGAGAGGCTCCTCACCATCCAAGGGACAGAGACCTCAAATGGACCAGCCTCCACCCAAGGAGAATGCCCTTGGCCTACCCACCCCCACAGGATCCCCAACCTGGTGCAGCAGGACCCTCCCAGGGCTGTCTCTGAGCTGCACCTGAGTGTGAGGATGCCTGCAGGGGCGGAAGCTGAGCATAGAGTCCCATGAAATGCCAGGCACCTGCAGTCTCCAAAGGAGCCCTGGCCTGGGAGGGGACACTGCCTGCCTCTCGTTACCTGTGTAGGCCACCTCAAAGACCTGATTGGGGGGGCGAGCTCAAGGTTGTGCTCAGCAGTCTGGGGCCAGCCATTCTTCCTGAAAGAGTACCAAAGGCAGCCAGGAGACATCTGCCTGTCCCTTTTCTAATGCATCCTTGATTTATTTCAACATACCACTATTGAGTAATGACCACAGGGTCCCATTCTGTGTGTGGCAAGAAATGAAGACACCTCTGTTCTGCCCCAGCCTGCACCTCCTGCATCAAGAGTTGGCAGGTCCCAGGGAGGTGAGCAAGGGTTAGGCCAGGGAGACAGGAGGAGGACTATCCAGTCTCATTGGTGCTGGACATGTGCCCTGAGGCCATCTCCTCCTTTCCTAACTGACCTACAGATGCAAGCTGCAGGACGTGGTGACTCTCCCCCAGGACCCTGTGGCACTTTCTGTTGGTGCCTTGGTAGTTCCTCAAGGAGCTTTCGTGAGGGGAGATAAGGAGGGCTGAGCTGGAGGCCGCATGATCCCACCTAGTGTCACTGACTCAGGTCCTGCAGAACATAGGCTATGGCAGGCATGCCCCTACCCCCAGTCAGGTTTCTCTCTCCCACAGGAAGGCTAGGGGGGTCCTAATCCCCAAGTTGCCCTTTTACTGGACCAAACCCCTCTGGCCAGACCTGAGTCCTCCCAGGACAGACTCCCCAACCCGCTCTTCTTCCCAGCCAGCTCACTTCTACAACCCTCCACAAGGCTGGGAAACACAGGTGGCCCCGGGTTTAATTACCCTGTGTAAGCCTGAGTCTTTCCTCTGTGCTGCTGAGCTACACTCCAGCTCGCTCTGTGTCCACTAACTTCCTTGGCAACAAGGCCCTCCACATGGGCCCAGCCTCCTCAAAGGAAAATTGCTCCGTTGTGGAGGGTCTAAGACAGGCAGGGCTCTGTATCAGCAACATCAGTTAGTCTCTTCTCTGAACCTTGAACTTGAAGAGGCACCTTGGACCCATGGTTCACTTAAGGAAACAGAAGAGTTGAGTAATTTGGGCAAGGCCACACAGCTTGTGACAGAACCATGATTCGCACCTGGTCCTGCGTGAGTCTCTAGCCAGTTCTTCTCCAGAATGACTTCCCTCTCTCAGGATGTCTCCAGTGGCTGGCTGCCTCCTTCCAAAGCCACGTGGATAATGACCTCACCCTGCCTCAGAGCAGACTCTGCCACCTGGACCCAGTGGGGCTGAGGACTCCCCCTCATCCCAACTTAAGTCCTCAGCCCCAATTTGGGGTGTGGCACTGGAAACTCAGAGCCTACTCTGAGGGACCAGGCAGAGGATCTGGTTATTTGGAACCATGAGGCCACTGGGTCACCCTAGGGACATGTAAGTTCTCTGGTAGAGAGAGGGATGGCGGATGATCCTGAGGGACTTGAACCCCTGGTTTTCCTGTCTTTTTTTTTTTTTTTTGGAGAGGTTTTTGCTATAGGGCGCGTGCGCTCGCTAGACAGACAGAGATATAGAGACAGAAAGCGAAAAATCACCCCCAGGGGGGATGGTCACGCCACAATCCCTTCTCCTCCATCCTCCTCTCGGGATCTTGGGCACGCACGCACACGCGCCTGGTGTGAGTTTTAAGCCACCAGGTCCGGGACACGAACCGCGGTCGACTACATGGGAGTTCAGCGACATAGCCATTACGCTAACTGCTGGTTCCCATGGTTTTCCTGTCTTTAATCACACTTAGGCAGAGGATGTCAGCCTGAGAGACAGTGTAGTCTGGCCCCTGAATGTGGTGTGTGCTCTTAGCATGTACTGTGCTCTCAGCACGTAGTACATGGCCTTAGCATGTGATGTGTCATCTTAGTGTGTGAGGTAATCAGTGGTGGCCTTAGTGTCCAGTGGGGAGGCTGAGCCCTGTGGTCATTTGGAGTACTGGGTGCCATGTTCACACCCAGGCCCCAGGTATTCTCGCAATTAGCAACTGTCCCAGTGGCTGAGTGGCTGATTCCAAGGGACACCTGAGTTCTGGGAGTGGAGGCCGCTACCCAGCATCCCTTGGCCACAGACATCTGTGGTCAGAGTTGGAGGTGTAAGCTAGGCAGGCAGTGGTGAGTAGCATCTGGCAAGAGAGCAGGCAGGGAGGTGGGAGCCAAGCCTGCCATCTCTGCCGGGATCCTGCTTCTGACCTGAGACCAGAGTGCTAGGACTCAATGGAAGCAGGGCAGATGGGGCTTAAGGAAAGCTGTAGCTCAATATAGCCCCCGGTCAGTGTGAGGGCCCCACCCTCACCTGTGGGGGCTCAGGGAGAGAAAGGCTCAGTTGGCAGAGGGACCCTGCACTTCTGCAGGAGCCCCCAAACTTCTTCCAAGTCCAGAGCAGGTGTGGCTGCCCCCGGGCTGCCTGGGTCACTCCCCTGCAACCCCGCCCCTTGCCAGGCTGGTGTGTTATAAATAGTAGGCTGCCCAGCCAGCCTCAGGCCACATCTCCATTTGTCACCTACCAGAGCTGCCACCTTCCAGCTGCCTGCCACACCATGGACAGAACAGAGGCACCTGCACAGGGCGTTTCCAGCCTCAAGGTACCAAGGACGTGCTTGATGTGGGCTCTTCTTCCCATGCTTGGCTCCTGGGGTGCTGTCGGGAGCAAGAACCCCTTTACTGCAGGTCATCTCTTGGGGTCTCCTTAACCTGAAGTGGAAGGGAGACTGTATTCTACCTGGTGGGGCTTGGTGTGCCAGACCTTTGAAGAACATTCCAGGCACTGTGGGGCAGCACGCTGGGTGCATGTGGACCGCGTGTGTCCAGGTGCCACAGATGTCAGCTGTGCATGTTGACCACACTACGCGCGCATGGAACCAGGCAAGTCAGGCCAGTCTCTGATACACACATGCACTTGTAGGATGGCGCAGAAGGGAGTGCAGCCCTTTGTCGGGCAGGGTTCCAGCCCCTCCTTCATCATGTGGTTCCTG